ACAGAGTCAAGTTGGTGTATGTGAGAAGTGGGAGGTGGCAAATGCAGCTCCGTGCTCTTACCAACGACACATTCAGCTGCTTGCTGTGTAATAAAGCTGGGTGATATCTAGCCTTTAGGAACAGTTTTGAACCCTTCTCCAACTATAGCACCATTTACCACCTGCTCAGAAATGTCACATTTGGCATTTTAGAACATTTTAATTTTTGTTTGTTTATTTTATTTTTTGAAGATTAGAGAAATAAACATATTTCTATAGCATGAAGCTGTTTAACAATGGGTCAGATAAAAGGTTTAAGTTGTGAAAGCTTTTTGTTGTGAGTAGGGTGGACCACAGCGCAGAAAGCCTGATCTGAAGTTGTGCTTGTAGGAAACGGAAAAGAAAGCAAATAAAGTCTCGAAGGGGGTGTGAAGTGGTTAGAAATGGCATAAGGTAAGTTGATAAAACTGGGATGTGCGCTTGATTTGCAACTCTGGTGCGAGAGTAACTGCAAGAGCAGCTAATCGGTTCATTTTGTTATGATCATTCAAAGTCCAGACTGTAATTGAAATTAAAATTAAATTAATGAACCAGCTGTAGATCTAATAAGTATCTGGTTATGAAATAAAAAGTTGAGCTTTTAAGCAGAAGGTTTCTGTCACCATCAAAAGGGTGAAAAGTAGTGATGCACCGATGTGAAATTTTTTGGCCGATACCAATATTAAGATCACTGTTATGGCCAATAACCAATATTTGCTGATACCGATATACTGACATTAATGCTTGTAAAATCAGCAATTTTGTATAAATTATTATTAAAGCTGAATTTACATTATGTAGACACACCACGCACACTTACACTTCTGAGATTTCATTCACTGTTCACAAGACTAAACAATTACACGTCACCTCCCTCACCCTCTGAAACAGGCAAACAAACGGAGACGAGATGGAAAATATCAGTTGTTAATATTGGCCCGGTCTCATTTACTGGACCGATACCGATATGGTAAAAAATGACCATTGGCTGATACCGATATTGATGCAGATATATTGTCTATCCCTAGGGAAACATGTATTGCATCTTAAGATCGTCTCCCTATTTCTGTTTATTTTTTTTCTGGAAACGCCTCCTTCTCGATGGTGAACGTGCACCTTTAACTAGGTAACAAAGCTAAAACACTTTCTTTTACAGTTGTTTTCATGTTATACTGTTTACTCACATTTGTTATATTTTTAAAACTTACGTGTGCATTAGAAATGGCACCAAATCTGCATCTGTTTAGGTCAGGGGAGCCCAATCCTGGTCCTGGAGGGCCGGTATCCAGCAGATTTTCTGCTCCCACACTTTGTGCAGCAGCTCGTCAGGCTCTGCAGAAGCCTGTTAATCACCTGCTGATTAAAATCAGGTGTTTTGAAGCAGAGTTGAAAACATGCTGGATACCGGCCCTCTGGGACCAGGATTAGAACATCCTCAACACTTGCGCACGCTCTGATTAACATCCGTACACTGATGTCCAACGCTGTTGGCTAAAGCTGAACAGCGCTCAAGTAAAATTGCATGGCACGTTACTAGATGGGGGAGGGCATTGCAAAATTATATATATTATATTGCCTACCTTATATCTAGGGTTGGGCATCGTTTCAGTTTGAACAATTCTGATTCCAGTTCATTTTTTTCAATTCCAGTTCCTATCAAATTCCAATTCTTTCAAGTGGCAGGATCCCAAAACATTCCAAGTTTTAAATGAGCCAGCTAACCAAAGGTCCTACATGGTCTTACATCACCTTCATTTAGACAAAAACATGTTTTCAAGAAGGAAAAAGGTTTGTAGCACAACTCATGTGTTTGTTTCTGACCACAACGAAAGTCTGGAAGAAGCCTCTAGAATGAGGCAAAACGTCTTCAGCACAACCAGAAAAGTCTGGCTGCTTTTACCTAAAGCTGTCAGAATGATCGGGATGACTGAATCTATACCTACATGCAGCAGCAGCGCTTTAGTCAGAAGGGAAATGGAAACTTAAATGTAGCTGCTGTCGGTAACAATCTAACAGATTTAAAATGCTTAAACTCAACAGACTAAATGGTTCATAAAAGAAAACATATCTCAACTGTACATGTGAGAATTTTTATAATTTTATTTATGTCTATCGGCTCCTAGTGGCCAGAACCTGGTGTGTCAACCACAGGTGGAACTAGCAGGATGACTAATGACGGTCAAGCTCACACAGACGAGTGTTGGTGAGCGGCTGCGGGGTCAGCAGCCTGTGATTTTAATAAAGTTGAGCAGTTCCGAGAAAAACAGACTGTCCCAGTTCTAATCGATGCTCGATGCCCAACCCTAGTTATGTCACAGTACAGGGTTTTACAGATTTCTAAAACAAAAAATCAGATGTAATTCCTGAAACGGGAAAAACACCAGATTGCTGCTTTAATGTTGACTCATAAAAGCAGCTTTTTTAAAATTCCTGCTCCTGGGGTGTGCTCTCTCACTGCAGTACCCCTCCTAAACAATAGGTGCTGCTACAGAGAAAAATGCAGCTACTACATTACGTTAAAACAAAACTTCACATTAAGTTAAAACATGTTGTTTTAATGGTAAATTGCTTCTGTTTCTGTACGAACACTTACTGATGCTGAGCTAAGGGGCCTTTGTGTGAATTACTAAGTGGAGCAGCATCACATTTTGTGTATCAGAGAGGACAGGTGTGTGTGTAAAGGGCGATTGTGATTCAGTACTCTAACTGCCACCATCCCTGTTTAATTCTTTTCAGATTTTTAGCACTTGCCTCATTTTTTTTTCACTCCGCTTGCTCTTTTCTCTCTGTCAGCAATCTGATGGAGGCAGAAGCTCAACATCTAATCCTTCTAGAGGTCCAACCACCCATTTCTCTGTACCTTCTTGTTCCTATGGTCTACGCATCCATGCTGTTTCTCTTTTCAGCTTTCCTCCTCTGATCTATTGTTTTTCATGACTGATCTCCACACATTCAGCTCTACACATTAAAAAGTGAGCGTTGTGGTGCAAGTTTTTCCCTCATTTTTCCGTGTTTAATTTCTGTCTTTAAAGCTTCACCAGTTTCAGCTGAAACTCCTTCAGAGACCATGCTGCTTGTGAAAGTGAAGACGGCTCTAACGAAAGCCATTTTCTTTTGAAACCTGTTTTCATTGTAGCAAGTGTTGGTACTGTGAAGTGAATTTGTGAGTATGATTCAATCCCACAGAGGGGCTGTACAGATATTGGTAAAAAGAAAGCTTTGAAACGCTGTTAAACAGATTGTTGCGAGGACGCTCCACACGCCGCATGTGGCTGTAAAGTCATTTTGCTCCTCTGAAACCTCCTTTGCTTCAGCTAAGAGAGGATTATTGCAGTCCCTGAGGTAAACGGCTGTGTACTCTCCTGCAAAATGTTTCATAACCCACCAGGAGTCATTTGTTCAATAAGGTAAAGAATTCATCAGGTTGAGAGTAATCACAGCTGACGGAATAAGAGCGGGGAGGGGGTTTGGTTCACTAGAGGATTATTGATTTGCTCTGAGTTTGAACATAAACGCCCAAGCATTAAAAGAAAGTCGAGTTTATTATTAAAGTACCTAAAACTTTAGTACTGGGTGACTTGCTCTTTAAGTAAATAGAGTCTTACTCAACTCCCACTTCCTGTTTGAAAAATGCAACAAATGCTGTCGCCTAGCAGACAGAGGGGATGGAGCTGCTAACAAATACACACACACACACACACACAGGCTCACAACGACATTGTGACATCATATGGTACCAGCTAACGTTCTAGGGTACCTCTTAGCCAATAGCGATGGCAAATGCAGTGCAGAGTTTTTACCTGACAACGGCACAACAGTGAGTTTTAGGCAGAAAATTAAAATTTTATCTAAAATGCACTAAAGTGCTAAATTATTGACTACACGTGTCTGCAGCCCAATTATACATGCATTTATATAGTTTATCAAAGAAAAAAAGTTGATTTGGGGGTGACTTGCTCCTTAACAGAAACCACATTATGGGCTAATTGGACTTGGACATGATGGCAGTGAAGTCTTATCTGCTATTTTATCCAGTGACCTGGAACAACCTGCCCGTGGTTATAATGAATTCTCTTGCAGCTTTGTTTAAAGGTTACTAATCAGTTACAGAAAACATTTAATAAAATACACTCATTTAAACGCATAAATGCATTAAATTCTGCTTTCCTGCAACATTGCCTGCTGTGTAGGTCAGTTTTATGTTGTTAATTTGAGTTTTGCAACGAGATTACACACACACACACACACACACACACACACACACACACACACACACACACACACACACACACACACACACACACACACACACACACACACACACACACACACACACACACACACACACACACACACACACACACACACACACACACACACACACACACACACACACACACACACACACACACACACACACACACACTGCAGCTCCGGATGCACATTGTTAGAAAATAAATTCCGATCTTTTAATCTACCTGCCCTTTGGAGCAGACATTTAGTTCCTGCTGATTTGTGGCCACTTTGCAGAGAGGCAACAGCCATCCAGGGATCATTCTGTTTTCATGAAAGGCCTGTGGGGGGGGGGGGGGGGGGGGGGTCGTCTCTGTCTTGCAGAGCACCAAATAGGTTTATTCAGGTGGAACTGTCAGAAGTCTTTTCATTGCTCACACAGACATTATTCCACTCAGAGGCCTGCTATGATAAAATCAGGTCTGGTTTCACTGAAAACTGTTGGATCACTCTGTACTTTCTATTTTTGACCAAGCTCCTGTCGTTTAGGGAGAAACTATTCATGAAATTAGACAGTAAAATTATTTAATGCTGTGAACAATGTATTATTATTATTTTAATTTTTTTACATAAAGATGTTTGTTTTATTTCTTTATTTTAAAGTAGTTTTTATTAGGCGTAGTTTTTTGGTTAAGTCTTATTCTCACTACTGGCAGACTTAATTTATTAATCCTTTTGTAAACTTTCAGTCTCCTCCCATAATCTCTTGGATTTTTTCTATTATTGATTTGGTGTCACATGTTCAATAATGCTGCTCACATAATTATAAATGCTGAAATCAAACTTGGTCCTTAATGATGAGGCCCACTTTTGCCCCGGTTCGTGATGACTGTTTGAAAGCTGAATGGTTTTTGATCGTTTTCATTCAGTCTAGCTGACTTATTTCCCCTCAAAGACAAACCTGTTGTACAATAATTACATGTCCGGTAAAGGTAAACCCTTACATTTAAAAGCGTAAACACCCATGGCTATCCTTTCCAGCGGGATAATGTGACACATTCTCATGTTTTTCTAATATTTGCATTGTAACATGCAAAGCTGCGCTAATTGTTTTTATGGTAATACGTTTCTCACAACCAAACATTGTTTGTTCTCTTGAAGAAAAGCCGTGTGTTTGTATTGGATGCTGTAGCTTTTGTCTCCTTTGTTTCGTTTCGGCAGCCACCAACACTCCTTTATGGTTTGGACAACCCACTCTCTCTTCGCTGCCTGTCCGACTTACCACCTGACAGGGTAAACGTACAAGTACATTGTCTGTGGTTCGTGTCAGTGTGATTGTGACTGGTGTTTAAGCCATCAGTGTTTAGTGCTAGTGATGTCCAGACTCCTGCTAGACTTGGACTTAGTCCATTATCACCTTCTCGTACAACATGACTCGTCAGTCCCATCCTCTTGTAGTTTTTAAATGTTGATCATCAAGGTTTGTGTGTAAAAGCACATGTGGTCCGATAGTTCTACCTTACCTTCATCAGGTGCAGAATTTTTTTCTTGTTCCCTGGTTCAGCATGGTGTTGGAATGAAACTAGGGATGTCCCGTTCCGATATCGATATCGGAAGTAATTTGATATCGGCCCAAAAACAGTGTATCGGATTATAATTGCTCTCCGACTGAGGAATATCACTTGATCAAGTCTTTCATACATTCTACACTACAAAATAGGTAAAATTATGTAAGATTTGTGCTGATGTCAGATTGATATCGGTATTGATCAATACTGAAGGCTGCAATATCATTATCGTATCGAAGGTGAAAAAGTTGCATCGGGACATCCCTAAATGAAACCTTTTATTTCCTTCTAATGTTTACTCATTCGATGCCCCGGGTGTGTTTTGATGTCATGGTGAAGTCTGAAATGAAGACTCCAGCTGACTTTAAAGCTGCTCAGATTTTCCTGATGTTTAAAAGTGGTGATACAAATCGTTCAGTTGGCGTTGGTTGGCTCTCCGGTTTCTTCAGCGTATCCAAACCTAGAAGGAAACTTAATTTTCAAGACTTTCCCTAGTCCCTGACCATTTATTGATTTATTTTACTTGAGCTAAAATATCAAAACTGCTAAATGATGCTTTTGTTCATCACTGGTAAATGTAGAAAATGTTTAGCAAAAGTTGAACTTTCTGTAGTTTACAAGCAAAATTATTTTTATTTTCTTTAATTCAACCGACATAAGTTTCTCACACAAAGTAATGAATTACTCTACAATTCCTCTGTGGCTTTTTTAAAAGGATTAAAGATCGCTTCTTTTTCCAGTGAAATGTGTTTTTGTTTTTTTCCTGTTTTTTTCTTGGTTTTAAACACTGATCAGAACTAAATTATTACTAAATGGTTTAGGATCCAACTTTAATATTTTAGTCACAGAACCTTACATGTGTAGAACACTAAAAAAACATTTTTAAAGTTTTACTTCTGATTATAATTGAGTTTTTAATGCAGGCTTAACATGAAAATGGTCTCTACAACTATCTCCTGCATTAGCTTCTGATAGAAAATAGAAGGCAAATCTTTAAGATTAGAAAAGCCTGACAGATCTACGTCACACTGTCACTGAACATCCATGGACTCACCCATCTTTACTCAGATGGAGAAGGCTATTTAAGTGTCCAGGAATCAGCAGAGAACATCTCCGCTAGTAGTAGCCAACCGTTGAACCAACTTTTCTTAACAGTTTCAGCAGAAACGGCTACAGCGATCACAGAAACGAATCTGTGCTGCAAACCCCGCAATGAATCTGCGTGTTTCCAGAACAGACTTGAGCAAGTTTGTCGAATGATTTGTGCAATAATCAGATTTTTATTTTACTTCCACAAAATGTAAGTTCTGGAGTAGAAATTTTCGAAACGGTGACTGCTTGCCATCAAATTTAAAAGACTGCGCTTGTTAATTAGGCCGTCATTTTTAAAGTCAGGCAGTCCAAATGACGGCGGGGAGGCTCGCTAGCTGTTGCACACATGCGCAGTGGGCATTATTTTTCTCCAACAATCCGAGTAGCTGTGTACATACATGTCAGTCGGACAAAACCACCTCTCTCAATGGAATTTAAAATTAATTCAGCTTGGGCCAAATCTGATCAGAATATTCCGATTGACATGTTTACATGCAGAATTTTTTATCTGATTGGGCATTCAATCCGATTAATTGCACCCATGTAAACGTGTCTACTGTTGGAGTCAGTGGTAGAGTTGCATTGCTGTTATCCAGTCTGAGGTCCTGCTGTGTTCAGCTCAGCTGGGATGTGGCCTGAACATGGTACATCGGTGCTTTTTTTTTCTTTCTCCAGAGCACAATTTATAAGGTATTCATTCCTACTAGAGACCACTGCAAAGGTGTTGATTAAATGAGTGTTCCACAGCTTTAAAAGACCCTTGAGATGAAAAACCTAATTTGCAAGAACAGATATTACATTAGGTTGTGGCTGGAGGTTTTTAACCTTTATGTCCACACTAAGAAAAAAACAAGAATTTGTTTTGCATTTCATGAGATGATTTCCTGCCACATGAACACGGTAAAGAACTGTAGTTTTCACAAAAGCTTACAACTATGAATTACACCTCAGATCTAAGACTTATTAAATGTCCCTTCAAAGCTTGGAGAACTTCTCCAAATGGTGAAACCATTCTCAAAACAAATGTTCATCCAGCCGAGGCCTTTGAATTGCTTTAATATAAAAATAGTCTATTCAAAAGCCATTAGTCTCTTCCATCTGACAAGCGCTGCCGGCTCACGGCCCGTTTGAAGACGCACATTTACTGCTATACTGAGCTAGACGTCTCTGTAAAAGAATATTTAATCAAACCAGGCAAGACTTAACATGAAAATGAACACTTTTAGACCACCATCAACACTTTCGCTGACTATGCTTTCATTATAAATTTCATGGTGTATTGATGTTGTAATTCAGGCTTAGTCTTCTTTCAGTATTTATGCTGTCTGGATCTAGCTGAGAAATCTAGAAGTTCTGCATGGCGGCCTAACCATGCTCCATTGAAACCTTAGCACCGGCCAGCCTGGTCACGGTGTCACAGTGCTTACCTGTTTGCAGGGGTGGGCATTAACTTCAAAACCAACCGGCCAGCTGGTCCGGTAACTCTGAATATTTACCGGCCCCGCTGGTCAGCTGCCAAAACGAGTCAAAATAACAACTGAACCATTTAAAATGTAATAAACCTTTATTTTGTACACATTCACAAACATAATAACGTATTCAAGTTTGAATTAGTTTGTTCCCTCAACAAAACTCGATTTTGTCGTCACATACTTCCGGCATACAGCGCAGTACATCACCTCCTCCTCTTTGCTGTACTCGAGCCATTGGCTGTGTTCGAGATAAGCCAGTTCTGCGCAGATTAGACCAGTGGTGATCGGCGAGCAGTGCATGCTGGTTAGATTTGTGTCCGACATGGCGCTGACTTGCTCTGACGTCAAGCATACGTAGGCAACGATAACCTCGTGAGATCAAGGCGGCTGCAGATTTTGGAGCAAGGCGCTGCAGTTGCTCTCCCTCGGCTGCAAAACCTAGATGATGACGGGAAACGCCTGCCTCTCACCTGATCTAAGATCTGATTGTTTCATATTTTGATCCAAACATCTGGTGGTAGAACATGAAATGTTAGTTGGTCACATGTATTCTGTAAATCATGTTACGTTGATGATGACAACAATATAGGCCATAAAGAGAAATGTGTTTTGTTTTCTTTTGTCACGTTTCCTATGAGCACACTAAACCTACAGCTGATGACCTTTACTTATTATTACAGTCATGTCTTCATATACAATATATGATATCCACAAGCACGTGAGGATGTGTTTCAGCTGCTAACAGGCACCAGAATTAAAATTGAAAATTGAACAAGTGTGAACGCTAACGCGATATCTTCAGCCATCGTCACCCCCGAGCTACACATGCAGGAAATTGTGTCCGACTTAAATGCCGGCGTTGTATCAGAACACCGGCTTTCAGCCACTCCCCCTGCTGCTTCCGTCTGCTCTCGTCTGTTTTCCAGGCGAGGCGCTGCTCAACTCGAACACGGACATTCTCTGCGCCTCCCGTCTTCTTTAAACCGCCAAGAATCATTCCACCTACGCACACGCTTCTCTGCTTCATATCGTTTAGAACTTTCTCACTTCTCCTCACCAGTTTTAAAGCGTTTTGCCAGAAATTTCATCAAGAAATCCCATCCCTGTGGTGGCGCCATCTTCCTGCGAGCTTGTGTGTTTTCTAGCGTGGTTCCACTTCGTCTTTAATAGTGAACTTATAGTTCACGTGAGTAGAACTAGAATCGTGCAGTACGTGCACGAATCGTACAAGTGCAGTACGTGGCTAGAGGCGCGCAGGTTCACGCGCGCGAAAACGGCGGCTTCCTACAGGGCGCGGCCATGATGTAGGTGAAAGCCGGTGTGTAAATGACAAACGAGGCTTGGGCGCCACCCGGGCGGTAAGTCGTCAAGTATTTACCACCCGACGAGAAAATTTAGCGCCATTGGCACTCGGGCGCTTTAAAGGTCCACCCCTGTGTTTGTTATTGCGACTGAGCAAAACCAAGATGGCCGTGGCTCATTTGAAAGAGCTATCTGGACTATTTAGACTTTGCTTTCCTTTGAGTCAAGAGCAGATAGAGGTACTTAGACATTTGTTTTTCTTTCTTTGTCGGATGGCACCATCTAGTGGCTGACGAATATATTGCACTAAGCTGTAGTTTCCACTTCTGTATTTCAGACCACTCGTTCATGAATGTGCTCCTCTAAACGATGCATCATTTTAGAATAAAAATGCTCATGTTGTGTTTTGTATTCATATTTATATTTTAAAGACTTACTTATTTGTAGGAATCGTCGCCAACTCTGCATCAGCCGAGGTACGTCCTCAATCTTTTGAGGATGCTCTGATTGACATATGTACGTAGGCGGTAGTCTAGTACTATTAAATTAATCTATCAACTTATATTTGTATAGCGCTTTCCATCATCCTCAAGGGGGACCCAAAGTGCTGAACACAGCACAAATAAAACTTAGAAATAAGATGCCAATTAAACTAGGATAAAGAATATAGCTAGTGGGTTAATGCTGCCCATTGCTCAGTTCATACTGCATGGAGCTCTGTGGGATAGGGGGCAGGCTTGGCAAAAAACATGACGTATTGCCCGTTATACACATACGTTGCAGCACATAATAATTTTTTACGAATTTCTTAGAAAAAGGATAGGGTTGGGCGATTATGGCCTAAAATCAATATCACGAT